GCCCACTCTTACTCTGTTCTTTCCATCTTCATTTCTCTGAGACCAGTGCCACTGCGTCAGACTTAGTTCTCTTCCACATGATCTTATTTGGGCTTCATAGCAGCTTGGTGAGAAAGGTAGAGCAAACGTATCTATTTTCTTTGGTTGTTTTTCCTTTTTTAAAAATTAATTTCAGGGCTGAGGATGTAGCTCAGTTGGTACAATGCTTGAAGTGCCTGTCTCGCTGGGTTCAATCCCCAGCAATGCAGCACTGCATAAAACTAAGTATGCTAGATAGCTTCGGTTGCCAACGTGACATACCTGGGAAGACGGAACCTCAATTGAGGCATTGAGTTGGCCTGTGGCCATGTCTGTGAGGCATTTTCTTAATTACTGGTTGATGTGAAGGGGCCCAGCCCATTGTGGGCCATACCACCCCAGGCAGGTGGTCCTGGGTTGTATAAAAAAGCAGGCTGAGCACAGACCAGAGGAGCAAGCCAGTAAGCCCCATTCCTCCATGGTCTGTGTTTCCATTCCTTCCTCCAGGCTCCTGCCCTGCTTGAATTCCTGCCTTGGCTTCCCTCCAGGATGAACTGTGATCATCCGCATGTGTAAGCCAAATAAAGTCTTTCCTCTCAAAGTTGGTTTTAGTTAGTGTTCTATCACAGCAACAGAAAGCTAACTAGGATACAGGGCATAGAGGTATAAGACTGTAATCCTAGCATGTATAAGGTGGAGGTAGGAGGATCAGAAGTCCAAAGTCATCTACAGCTATGCTGCCAATTTAAAGCCAGACTGCGCTATGCTCTGGCCCTATCTCAAAACAAAGGATTTCAAAGATAAAAAAAAATTGAGAGCTAAAGAGGTATGGCTTGTCTCAAGTCACAGAGCTTGTTAGAAACTGCAATCTGAAGCAAAGTGTGTTTTCTTGTTCTTCTCTACAAGCAAGCCACACCTGAGCTGCAGGAGCTTGTCCAGCACTAAGTACTTCAGGGGAGAAAAGGGCTTGGCAAGTTTGCTGAGCTGATAAAGACCTAAAAGCTGTGAGGGCATCCCAGACAAGCAGCAGAGCTTTGACAAATGGGAAAAGTGATGAATTCTTTCCTTTTTAAAGTATCTTCAAGGCACCAGTGTCAGTTTACAGTACTGTGAGGTCTTAGCATGCCACTAAAAATATCGGTAATAGGACAAAGATGGGAGCACATCATATAGACGCTGAGACAGCAGACTGCAGCCAAGCACTAAGTAGAAGTGCTGTCTCTGACAGTTGCTTTCCACACGCTCCTGTGTAAAGTAGGTGCCAGTGGTGATATTAAGATGTCTGGAAGTGCTGGGAAGCTGGAGCCCTGCGAGCAGTCAACACTTGGCTCTTTCAGGGTACATTAGCCAAGGCCCTTGTTTGCCCTCCGACTCATTCCCATTGAGTGTGTGTGTTTGTTGGCAACATCACTGAAGAGAGGAGGAAAAGGAAAGAGTTTGCCACTCCTGCTTAATGTGAGCCTATTACATTTTAGTGATTATCCAAATGACCATGTCAGAGTGAGCAAGCTAGACCTGTTGGATCACCATGAAATTAGCATCTTGTAAATGGCTCCATGGTTTAATTAATTTTCTTCATTTCCCCAGACACACACATATATATACATACATATATATATATATATATATATATATGTATGTATATATATGTGTGTGTGTATAAATTAAATATGTGTATAAATTAAGTTTGTATACATATATATACTTAATACATAAGTCATGAAAGCAGAGGAGACCAACAGGCCCTGTCTGGTGCAGCCCCATGCCCTAAGGCACCAGGAGTCAGTGGATTACCAGTAGTAATCTCTTAGTTTCTCAGATTATAGATAGTCTTCTACCAAGTTGGTTTGACTTAGTATTGTTTTATTTGATGATGGTGCACAATCAGTTTTCAATTTTGATCTTTCACCAGACTCATAGGATGCAGCATACTATTCTGTCCCAACACTGTATAGCCACAGTGAGCCACAGCTCCTAATCAGCCATCTAGTCAGAGGAGAAACCACTAATACTCTGTACTATACTGTGTTGCTGAACTGTGATATACAGTAGGTATATTAATTGCAGTTTCAGTTTTGATGTCTTCAACTTAGCAATGGGTTTATCAGGATACCACCCCTTGTAAGTCAAGAAACATCTGTGCATTGCTCTAAGTCAATGCAGGATTCCCAGGGGTTCTTGTGGCCCTCCCGCTCTTGGCAGATTGGAACAAGAGAGGGAGCCATCAGGAGCACCGTTTTCTAGTCTCTTTCCCACAAGGCGTTCCTGTGTGTACCTTGCACCTTACCCCTCAGGGTCCTGTAGTAGCATTCTTCCAGATGTCTTAGTTCTAGAGAGCCTCAGAGCCCATTAGGCTCCTGTGAGGCTTCCAGGAATATGAAGAAGCTGTTTCAGGAACTGAACAGAGGAACTTTGGGGAGGGAATCATTTCTGATTGAAGAAAGCCAACAACAGTTTCAGAGAGGGAAGATGAGGTCTCCAGAGATCACTGGAATCCTTTGAAGCCCTAGTTGCTGGCAAGGCTGAGTGCAGAGTGGGATGACTTGCACACCAGTCCAATTTTTCTGAAAGCATTTTCACAAAATGTTCTCATAGGTTAATGTATAAGACACGAGTTGTAAGTGGAAAGTTGGCAAAGTCCTTTGGAAATTGGCTAAAGGGCAGGAAACAAAGGGTAGCAGTAAAAACCTAAAAGGATGTTAATTGAAGAGTGCCTGAGGGAATGGGGTTGCTACTAGCTTTTTATTATTTACATAAAAATTGTGTGGAAAATGGTATTGAAAGGGATTTTCATGTTGGCTAATGAAACTGCATTAGTGAGCTGTGTGTGGAGATGTTAATGGAATTAGGGAAGGGTCCCATTTATTGATGGACTTGAAGAGCAGCATTCTCTAACGTGTTGGTAGGAACCTGCATTGTTTCATTGGCCAGATTTCCATTTGAGTACTTGGGTAGGCTAACTTAAGCTGCAAGGAATCAACCTGTCACTTCTTGGGCCACAGAAAGCATTTCAAAGAGGTTTTGGCATCTTGTTCTCAGGACAGATCCTGAAACTGGATGTTATCTTCAGACCTGGAAATGGCTATTTTACAAAAGGCTGAAAGGCAAATGGAATCTCCTCTTAGCTACAAATATAAGATTGAACCACCTGACATCCGCACTTTTCACCTATTGTTACTTAATATTTTCTGTTCAGTGGAGCTCAAATTATCACAGTGGCTTATTGTAGATCATTCCTACTGGGAAGTTAGCAAGCTCTCTTAAGCAATTAATGCATAATGGAATTAACAACATGGCGACTTGGAGTTGGGAAACCAGGAGTAATATTTGCTCTCCTTTCTGTAGCCTTAAGAAACTAATTGTGTTTGGCATCAGCATCACAGGGTCTAGAGGGCCTTGATTTCCTGGCCCAGTAGGAATCCTCTTGCTTGCCTTGCTACTCAAAGTGTGGTCCAAGGACCTGCATCACTGGCATCTCCTAGAGAATTGAAGATTCTCATACGCTATCCCAGAATTGAGTTAGCAGCTGCATATTCTCAGGATGCCCAACTGACTGTGCACTAACATTTGTGAAACGCTGTTTGAACGCACCCAGCAACCACAGAAAATAATCTAGGGAAAATCGAGCATTTGTAGGTTGAAGAAAGACTTCTGGCACTAGACTTCTGGCACTTGGGACATTCTGATATGCTAGAAAAATTTAAATTCCTCCTTTCTAGGTTTTGCCAATGCCCCCACCCCCATCTTCCCTCATTGTCATAAAGCTCAGTGCCATCTCCAAAATGTTAGCCCCTCCCAAAGTTTGCATGCCTTTTAAGAAAAGTGGCTTAAAAGCCAGTGGACTATATCCCTGAGGTGAGAAGACAAGACTTGTCCAAAACACCTTGAAGAGTCAGTTCTAGCTTGTGTCCCTTATAATTTGTCCAGATTGGAACTCATCAAGCCTGAGTGTAGTATCAGAGTTTCACCCTTACCTGGGAGGAATCTGGCCCCTTGAGCCTCAGAAGAAATAGGCAAGAAGGGTTTCAAATGAGCGCATTAAATTAAGCATTTTCATTAGTCTTAGACAAATACAGAACCATTTCTAAAGATTCTAAATGGATTTTATCTCCTCCACAGACTGAGTATTCCCCAAACCAGGAAAATCTATTGTTTCTATTTAAATTTATAGCACGTGGAACAGGATAGGCCCTTAATGTATGCAAAGGAAGATAAATAAACTCCTGGCTTATCCTCTGGCTCACACAATGTCCACTTATAAGTTATCACTCCAACTGTATTTCATTTGTAACTAATTTCTTTCTTGTTAATTATTAATTCCTTTCCAGACTCATTCACAGATGTAACTGAGCCTATGTGTCTATAAGCAAGTCTCAAAAGGAGGCCACCCGCCACAAAGCTTGCTATAGAATCAAATACCTTACAGCAATGTGGTGGTTTAAATGAGAATGTCCCACATAGGCTCAAGGATTTGAACTTATCCAGATGGTGGCGCTGTTTTGGGGAGGGTCATGGAACATTTAGGAGATGTGGCCATGCTGGAGGAAGTATGGCTCTGGGGTGGGCTTTGAGAGTTCTTAGCCAGCCCCATTTCTAGTTTTTCTTTTTGCCTCCTGTGCCTGATTGAAGATGTGAGCTCTCAGCTTTCTGCTCCGGCTACTTCCTGCCATGTCTCCCCACCATGATGGATACTCACCCTTCTGGAACCATAAACCAAATAAACTCTTCCTTCTATAAGTTGCCCAGGTCATGGTGCTTTATTATAGCAACAGAAAAATAACTAGTACAGTGTCTATAAGCAAGTCTCAAAAAGAGGCCACCCACGGCCACAAAACTTGCTATAAAATTAAATACCTTATAGCACATCTCTGAAAAACAGTAGGCCAAGCGTGAAAAGGGAAGAGGAACCAGAATCAACTTGGTTAGAAATAAAAAGTAGTGTAGTTCCTATGTCTTAAGTTGTGCTCTCCTGTTCTTTTTAGGTAAGAGTCTATGATCTCTCCAAATTCGAGCACGGAGCAGATGATGTGCTGATCTTGGCCACCGATGGACTCTGGGATGTTTTATCAAATGAAGAAGTAGCAGAGGCTGTCACTCAGTTTCTTCCTAACTGTGATCCAGATGACCCTCACAGGTTTGTGCATGTCTGTGATTATGGATTGTTTCCTAAGCAGCCTTGACTAACAACCAAAATGTCCTCTGTGCAATCTCAGCACTGATGTTTTATGGGAAAGGCTGATAGGGATGGCTCAGTAAGCAACTTATAGAAGGACTATATGTCTTATTGGAGGTACTTTCTTGACCAAATAAAACCAAGATTTTATTGGTTGAAAATAATAACCAATTGAACAAAGATTCAGATGGCAAAGAGTTTGATTTGGTAAAGATTTTAACAAGGACTGGAGATGTTGCTCAGGTGATTAGGTACTTGTCTAGTCTAGTATGCACAAGGCCCTGGGTTCTGTCTCCAGCACTGCATAAACCAAGCTTGGTGGTACAGACCAGTAATTCTAGCACTTGGGATGTAGAGACAGGAGGATCAGAAGGTCAAGGTCGTTCTTTAGTTGCATAACAAGTTTGAACTACATGAGGCCCTGCCTTACAAAAAAAGGAAAAAAAGAAAACAAAAACCAAGCAACATTTCTTTTTCACTATTTTTGGGGGGGTCTGGTGATGGAGGGAGTTGAGACAGGTCGTAATATGCAGTCCTGGCTGACCTAGAACTGACTGTATAGACCAAGTTGGCCTCCAACTTGCAATGAGCCTTCCATTTATGCCTCTCCAGTGCTGGGATTACAGCATGACCCCCCGTACCTGGCTCCTTTCTCGTGCTCTCACTACAGATCCTCCAAAGTAAGGATAACGCCCTTTTCAATCCTGCTGGTAAGAATAATGGCAGGTGCTTTCAGGCATTGATGTCTACCCATTGGGAAATTGTTTCTTTTGAGAAATTCTGGGAAAGGAGAGTATGTTTATAGTAGGTTTTTTATAGTATAATGCCAATGTCAACACCCTGAACATGCCTAGATAACTCAAAAATAAGCAGAAATTACCTCTGAAGGAAAGGCAGCTTTAACTACACCACCCAAAACCAGCCATAATGAGTAAAAACCAGAACAACAGGCAGTGAAGCTGACTCTACAGATACGTCTCTATTGAATTGGTTGGCCAAAATATAAATAAATATTTTTGCAAGCATCAGAAATGTTTAAGAGTATTGAAAATATGATCAAGGATCGGAGACTAGAAAAACTAGTATGCAGTTGCCAACCTTAAATATGTAAAATGGGGGCTGGAGAGATGGCTCAGTGGTTAAGAACATTAACTGTTCTTGCAGAAGACCTGGGTTCAAATCCCAGCACTCACATGGCAGCTAACAACTGTCCATAACTCCAGTTCCAGGGGATTCGACAGCCTCTTCTGTCCTCTGAGGGCATTGCATGACACGGGTGCACTTACCTACATGCAGGCATAACACTCATACACATAAAAAATAAAAATAATAAATAAAATATTTTTAAAAATATGTAAAATATAACTTCTAGAGATTAAAAATATGAAATAGAAAGTAAAAATTCAATGACCAGATTAGAGACTGTTGAAGAGAACATTGGTGAGCTAGAAAATTGATCTGAATAAATAATCTACCATATGGCTTACGAAAACTAGGAGAAAAGAAAATGTGAGCTGGGTGTAGTGGTGCACACCTTTAATCCCAGCACTTGGGAGGCAGAGGCAAGAGGATCTCTGAGTTCAAGGTCAGCCTGGTCTTACAGAGCAAGCTCCAGGCCAGCTGAGGCTATAGGGAGACCCTGTCTTAAAAACAAAAAAGAAAAAAGAAAACGTGAAATGTTAAAGAGATAGGAAGATGGCCTATGATTCTCTACATAGAAGTCCAAAAGGAAATGGAGGGCTACAGAATTCATTTTTTTTAAAGACTTATTTTCATTTTATGTGCATGAGGGTTTGCCTGTATGATGCATGTGTACCATGTGTGAGCTTGTTGCCCACAGAGGCCAGAAGAATACATCAGCTCCCTTGGAACTGGAGTTACAGATGGTTGTGAGTCATCATGTAAGTGCTGGGAACCAAACCCGGGTCCTCTGCAAGAGCAGCCAGTGCCCTTAACCACTGAGCCATCTCTCCAGCCCCTTAAATTGCAGAATTCTTGAACAGTAGTAAACCTGATTCAGAAAGCCCAACAAATCTCACACAAAAGATAAAAAGAAATTATAAATAGGTATTTCTTAATGAAACTAAAGAACTTTAAATGCCTACCCCTTCCCCAAAGATACTAAAATAAACCAGAAAGAAAAGGCAAAACAGATATACACAGAGGTAGCATTTAGACTCACAGCAAGCTATTCAAAAGCAACAAGAGTCAAAAGATGGTGGGATTATATCTTCAGTTAGCTAAGCAAAAAACTTCAGTCTGAAAGATTTTTCTATATAGTAAAACTACCAATAAAGAAAATTTATTTTAAAAATTCAGATAGACATAGCAAAAACTGATTTTATTAATAACCAGTCTCTGAAGAAAATTCTAAAGGATGTATTCTCATAAGAGAAGGAAATGATCCCAGATGAAAGATCTGAGAAAAAACGGTAATAGGAATATCTAATGTGTGGGATTAAAATTGATAGAATTAATTACTGGATAAAAATTGCATGTTGGCCAGACGTGGTGACAGTCACCTAAAATTCCTACACTTGGGAACCTGAGGCAGGAGAATCACAATTTCAAGGCCAACCTGGCATGTGTAGTGACACCACCTCAAAAACAACCCCCTCCAAAAAATCCCCAGCATATTAATTATTAAGGAAGGGTATTAATCAGCTTAAGTATGCTATAGGTTTTCTGTTGGCGAACAGGTTAGAAGTATTTAAGCAGTAAGTTTTAAGTATACAAATTTAAATTTAAATAGCTAAGAAAGCTAGAATAAGAGAAAGAATTATTCCCCAGTCCATAGAGGAGAAGCCCACATGGACAATAGAGCCATGCTTCTGAACAACTTATGCATCAAGCTGAAAAATTATACTGAAAACTATGAATTACCTGGGCCTGGAAAATAGTACTATATATCAAAAATGTAAAGACTGAATTTTGAACAATTTTTTTCCTCCTGATTAAATGAACTAAGCATAAATCAAGGCTCCTCTCGCCCCTGACTTACCAAAAGTGACTACCTTCCTTCCATGTCATAACTTTATCCAAAGTTGCCCTGGGTTACATGAATCCACAACTACAAGCTTCTGACTTTTTAAAAATATTTTTTTTAATTTATGTGTATGAGTGTATTGCCTGCGTGTATGTAAGCGCACCTGTGTTGTGAAATACCTGAGAAGGTCCGAAGAGATCCCCCTGGAACTGGAGTTACAGAAGGTTGTTAGAGACCATGTGAGTGCTGGGAACTGAACCCAGGTCCTCTGCAAGAGCAGCCAGTGGTCTTACTACTACACCATCTCATCAGGCCCTGATTTTTAAAAATTTTATTTATTTATTTATTTTTATGTGTATAAGTGTTTTGCCTGCATGTATGTAAGTGCACCTGTGTGGTGCAATGCCTGCAGAGGCCAGAAAAGGGATGTTGATCCCCTGGAACTGGAGTTAAGGGTGGTTGTTAGCCACTAAGTGTACTTGATGCTTCAGAAAAGCACTTTAAGTATAAACTTTTAAACGGCGGATATAATAAATTTTATTTTATGTGTATTTATTATAATACAAAAATCAATTTAAAAGGCAATAAATTAACAATAAATTTTATGAAACATTAAAAAATAGAACACAAATAGCAATACAAAGTAGTAGTCACTCAGATACAGCAAGAAATTAAAATATAAGAAGCAATTATTAACATATATCTTTTTAAAAAACTTTTTCAAAATCTATTTACCTTTATTTTGTGTATGAGTGTTTTGCCTGCATGTATATAAATGCACTCCACATGCATGCAGTGCCCACAGAGGCCACAAGACAATGTTGGATCCCCTGAAATTGAAGTTACAGATGGTTGTTAGCTGCCATGTGGTGCTAGGAATCAAACCCAGGTCCTCTGCAAGAGCAACCTGTGTTCTTAACTGCTGAGCCCGTCAACATAGATTCCTTAATAAAAATATTATAAAGGTATCATTTCACCCTGTATTGAGTGTAGACAATACATTATAATAAAAATACAAATAGATGGGGCCTGGAGAGATGGCTTAGTGGAGGCAGAGGCAGGCAGATCTCTGTGAGATTGAAGCCACACTGGTCTACATAGCAAGTTCAGCCAGCTGGGGCTACAGGGAGACCCTGTCTCGAAAAGACCAAATAAATAAATAAATAAATAAATAAATAAATAGGAAGACACCCAGCTGAGTATGATTGTGCTCACCTTTAATCCCAGTATTCAGGAGGCAGAGGCAAGAGGATCTTTGTGAGATCAAGGCCAGCCTGATCTATATAGTGAGTTCCAGGCCAGCTAGGGCTACAGGGAGAGCCCACCTCAAAAAACAA